TTTATTTATAACAATAAAATTAATAATCAATAAAAATAAAAATAATAAAAATAAAAACAATATAAATAATAATAATAAAACTAATATCAAATAAAATTAATAATAATGTATCAAAATGATGCTCAATAAAAAATTGTTATAAATACAACTTTCTCATGTAGTTTGTTTAAAGCGTAATATTAATATATGTGTTTTTTGTCCTTACAACCTCCATAACTTCTGTCGTTTCTTCTACATGGAGAGGAATCGAATGGCCTCCACATTAGCATCATTAATAAAAGATTCATGATTCTTTGACGACTCTCGATATACATTATGTACGCAACGATCTTGTTATAGCTTTCCAGAACATTACGTGTGGTTAATATATGGGACGGTTAATATATACGTGGAAAGTGCACATGCAAAAAAAGAAGGAATTTTTTAAACGTTGCGCTTTCAACACATCGAATATCCGCGGTTTGTCTCGCGAAGAATATATAATTTTGAATTGTGTACGAAGCAGTGTTGTCTACGAAGCAGAATACCGTCTTCGCATAAACACGCTGATGTCAACCACACTAACAGCCCTTCACGACAAAGTGGTACAATTCTTGCATCAGAGCAACCTCGTAATCGCTGGTGATATTACATTAGCGTGCAATCTTGTTGCGGTTTAGTGAAGAATAGATTTTTATTTTATTAACCCTATCTTTGCAAAAGCGTCGAAAAATCAATTATTGAAATTATAATCTCTTATTTCAAATATTTCATTATATTTTGTGTGCTGCGACTCTTAAAAAGTTATTACATAGCCAATTTAAAGCCAATAATTTAGAAACCACGAATTGAAGGATTTGATAGTACAAACAAAATGTCTAAAAGTAAAAATAACAAAAGCATGTTTGAAATTACTGATGATTACTTATTCCAACATAGTCAAAATAAGTCAAATTTTGATACTTCGCTCGACCTAAAACAAATCAGAATCAGAACTGAATACGTATTCTCCTTTATGTTAATTAGATAACAGTTATCTCTCCTCCATATACGGTCTTTAAGATTGATGACATGAAGACGACGCGAGTTATGTAGGTGCCCCACTTTTAATATTCCTTTCTTTTATTCTGCATTCTCTCGACATTGAGAGTTTACGGATAATTTAATGGAACCTGATTCACGATACTGTTACACATAGTATAAATCCTACATCCGGAATTAAATTATCGATTCCGCGTCGATGAATATTAACATTGGTGTTAATAATCTAATATATAACCGCAATATATTTAGTGTTTTATTATTGTAAATTATTCACTTTCTTGACAAAATTATATTATTATTTAAATCGAAAATGATTACGAATCATTTATCGAAAAACGATATCTGCGAGTTAGACAAAAAATTAACTTCTATTTTCTTTGACAAAATACTACATAGCTTTAATTTTGCTTGTAAACATGGAAAAAACATTCTTTTATCAGAGAAGAAAATGAAAATAAAACTCTTCAAAGATAATCATAGATTTCTTATTTTATTTTATACATAACGTTAACCTTTTGACATGTACAAAATATTGAAAGTATAAATCAAATTCTTTTGATATTTACTGGATAAATATCTTAAATAACGAACAGTTTAAATAATAATGTCGTATAATGTAATTATAAATGAAATTATAAATTATAAATGAAATAGTGATATATTATCACTTAATTTAGCTTAAAATATTGCAAATAATTTATATTTTTCTAGGACTTTATATAAGAAAAGTATTATTTAACTCTGAGACGGAAAAGAATGTTAATATCACGAATATTAGATTATCAAAAAACAAGAACAATTTTAATAAATATATATCTTTTTCCTTTTTTTTCTTTTTCTGTTTGTTTTACAATAATTATCGATAATATTAAATTTATATAATGATGTAAATACCTTTACCTGAACCGACAGAGTGACAGTATGTAAGTATATTTTATTCAATAAGAAATATAAATCTAAACGTTTCGACTTAATTCGAGTTCTCTTCAGCAAATACAATTAAAACGTTACAAACTAAACTACTATTGAAATTATAAATGCAAGTATTAAATCTGTTTGATGTGATCCATTTCAGTGAATATTAGATTGATGAAATATGAGAAGATAATTTCGCAAGATTCCTCGAATATATTATTTAACCCACGCAAAATAACATCAAAGTGACAATTTTATTATTTTAAAAGGCATTTATATCATTATATAGATTTATTTTAATTGAATCTCACTATGTGTTATCATATTGAATTAATATTAAATTGTTAATATTTAAATGTATCTGTATTATGTTACTTTTAATTTTCAGAATTGAAAATTAGAAGTAAAAGTTCAAATATTGCGTTAAAGATGTTGAACAATTATCTGTGACGAATATGTTTGTACAACACTGTTCTGTCAATCAACGTAGACATTTGCAAAACACAAATGCAACAGAGTTTGAGTGAATGCTTGACTTACGCTAATATTAACTCTTTACCTAGAGTAACCAGGTGGACGTGCTATTTTCAAAGTAGTTTATGCTCTTGTTCTTTAAGAGTATGTCATAAATTCTTACTTAACTGTTCAATTTACGACACTAGAATATAGCTAGAATAGTTAGAGGACATTCTAATTTTAAAGAAAAAGCTATCAAAGAGAGAGTCATATAATTAGTATAAACGTTAGTGTTACATTAAATTTTCATATAAATGAAATATATAAATCAGATTGAAAGAAATTTAATAATTGCACATGAAGATCATTATCAGAGTCAGCTATAGTTCTTATTACTCGCTTTAAGAAAAATCGCAACAGAATTTTAAACAAAATTCTATTTATAATTTTATGTACT